GGGGACCAGGTTTGCTGGTCCAATAGAGCCTGATGGAACCACTGAGACAATGGCCCCTAGCTGCCCTTCAGGTCTGGAACTGAACCCACAACTGTGGTTTTCAGCCAAACAAAATAGAGGCATGTGAGTTAAACATTTACCTCAAGTGGATACACTCCTTAGAGAGAACAATCATGGGAGAAAGAAGGGCTGCTTATGCACAGGGAGACAGCTCAGGGTGTAGGAGGGTATGGAGGGATGGACACTGGGAAGAGGTAACTATGGGGAAGAAGTCGGAGGGGAGCTGTTGCATTGTGGTAAACTGTAGTCAATGACCTGAGACAAAGTATATGTGAACTGCTGTATAGAAAGTGAATTTGCTCTGTAAATCTTCACCAAAATCACAATAAAAAAAAAAAATCTCATTTTTAAATGAGTAACATTAATCGTATTTCCTGAAATTTAAAATAGAATTTCATAGACAAATATTGTCAGTAAGACTGACTTATATTTAAGTATATAAGTATGGAAGCAAAAGTAGGCTACTGGGAGCCTCATATGTATTGCACTGTACTGGGCTGACTTATGGAGTTCCTAGTCTCCATTTTTGTGATGTGTGTGCCCAGTGCTCATTTCCTCCTTCCTACCTTGTAACACTTTTCACATTTCTGTTGACTCTCATACTCTTCTTGCTTCAGCATTTCAGCTATTTCTGATTCCTTGAGGCTCTTGTCATAGTCCTCCTTTAGCTGGATGTTCTCTTGCATATTCTAAGTGATGAGATAGAGTTGAATCAATTCAGCATCTGAGTGCCTTGCACAAAACAGCCACCTTCCCCTGTTGATAGACCCCAGACCTTCCAGGCCTGCCCAGTTTATTCCTGTAAATAGCTTTATTCTACTAGTTGCTCTAAATCCACCAACTCCACAACCCTCTGTGGGTTGTACTCCCTCCTTCTATAGCCCCCAGACTACCTATAACCCATCTACTGCGAATCAATTCTGACTCATAGAAATCCTTTTAAGGACAGAGTTGAACTGCCCCAATAGGGTTTCCAATGCTGTAAATCTTTACGGAAATGGACTGCCTCATCTTTCTTCCACTGAGTGGCTGGTAGTTTTGAACCACCTTCCTTTTGGTAGCAGTTGAATGCTTTAACCACTACACCACCAGATCTCCCTAGACTGCCCATACTTCAGAGATATTTGGGCCCAAACGAAGAAAACCCCCACACCTGTTTCCGAAGTACTCTAGGGAAAGCTGGAAGGCAGACCTAGTCCACATACAAACCTCTTCTTTTGCCTTCGTAATTTTCCAGTGATGATAAAGCCAGTGAGCCAAGTACTCTATTGGGTCACTGGGCTGAGCCTTTGCCACTTCCACCAGTGCCTGGGCCAGGCAATTTCCAAAGCATCTCTTCAAGTACTCAGTTTCCATCCTGGGAGGCCTCAGAAACATCCAGGCAGAGTTCCACTACTTTAGAATTCCAATCTAATTTAAGAAACAGATGCATTCTAAATAATTCACATTCATTTAATGAAAAATACGAGATGTTTCTGGATCCTACCTTGCCTCAGAAGAACCAATAAAGACAGACTTGACAGTATATTTTATATTCAAGTGTGTTTTTTTTCTAAAGCTTTCCAGCTGTCCTAAGCCAGGCAACAGGTCCTAGAAGTCATTAGGTCTGAGAAGAGCTCAATATATTAGTGGTTAGGGGTGGCTACAGGCCTCCACCTACCCGTACACATTCCAATTTCCACCCTTGGATAAGGAGGACATAACTGAGCAGGCAGTAGGTCCTGGGAGGAGCTCTGAGCACCCAACAAACTATGATATTGTAAGATTGGAACCCAAACTCATGCATGACATAGATACAAAGGCTTATTTATTTCACAAGGGACCCCTCAGAAGGCCTAAGCAGGAAAAGGGAGGAAAATAACAGGTGCAGCTACTGCTGCTCAGGGCTCTGCCAGACCTAATACTATACTCCTAATACTATACTTCCTACTACTTAACAAGAAACTACTTTACATTGGGTGGTTGCCCCTTGATTTACTGTTAATCAGATTTCAAGAGCTAGAAGCAATATAGCCTACATCACACCATACGTTTAAGCGGCAGTGTAGGGTAGCAGTTATGAACATAGACTCTGGAGATTAAGTTCCACTCCTGGTTCTTGTGTGATCTTCAGCAAGTTACTCAGTTTCTCTGAGCGTCAGTGTCCTCATCTGTAAAAGAGACATAACAAATATACCATCACAACCATGAGGATCAAAAGACCCATGGAATTGACTCGGACTCATGGTAACCCCTGTGTGTCACTGTACAACTGTGCTTCACTGGGTTTTCAGTAGTTGATTTTTCTGTGTGTGTCATACATCTGGGTGGATTCTAATCACCAACCTTTTGGTTAGCAGCTGAGCACATTGGTTGTTTGCACCAAATATTAGCAATATAATAGAAGATTGTGACATAAAATAGCCTAGCATTCATCCTATTTCTGAACAATTCCATCTTCCTGAAGTTATATACTTTAACTCCCAAATTGCCTAGTGAATCAAAAGGCCCAGATCTAGTCCTAACAATTTTTTTTTTGGGGGGGGGGGCCTTTTTTCCTTCTTCAGATTGAGGAAAAATATATATATAGATACAGAATATAAACATATTTCCTAACTCTTTCTACTGCAAGGGCTTAGAAGCAGAATATCCTAGGAGCAATGAGCATACCTAGCATCTATATCTTGTTTTTAAGTAGTTCTGGTGGTGTAGTAGCGCCTAAGGTATTTGACTGCTAACCAGAAGACTGGCGGTTCAAACCCACCAGTCACTCCTTGGAAGGAAGATTGGGCAATATAGATACTGCCTCAGAAACCCAAGGAGGGGTCGCTATGGGTTGGTATTGACTTGACAGCAGTAATTTTGGTTTGTTTTTTTCCCCACTTAAGAGGATCCAGGACTCCTTGGAGAAATGGCTGATTCTAAGACTGAGGCAGGACAGATCTAATGAACTTGTAACATTATGTTGTATCAGAAAGTAAAATAGTTTTTGAAAAATGATCTGGTGGCTTTTAAATTTAGGGAAACTTGACAATAAAAATAAACATTGACTGAAATGGGTTATAACTCATGGAATAAAATAAGTATCTATGAGGCTACATGAGAATGAATAAGTAAGTAAAGTGAGTGGGGAGAAGAGAAAGTCTGTCCTTAAAATAGAACACCAACTAATAAAGTGGAAAGAAAAACAGAGTTAAAAAAATTTACGTGGAAAGAAAAACAGAGTTAAAAAAATTTACGTCTCTGGTAGCATAGTGGCTAAAGCACTTGACTGCTAACCAGAAGGCTGGTGATTCAAACCCACCAGCCACTCCTCAGAAGGAAGGTTGGGCAATCCTACTTCCGTAGTGATACTGCCTC